AGGCAGTATAAGAGTTTTACAAGGCTGTGCTGTAGTGAACTTCATGCTGGCTGCAGCTAACCAAGGTAGAGCTCATGGTGAGCGAGCATGACTTGTAATTGGGAAGATGGAGCCTGGTGAGAGACATGCAGCTGTGCTTTGCAGGATATCTGTGACAGAGCAGAGTACCCGTACTGTTGAGTTCAGCCTCTTCTCCCAGGTAACAGTGACAGGACAAGAGGTAATGTTGTTAAGCTGTATTAGGAGAGGTTCTGGTTGGATATTAGGGAAAATTTCTTCTCAGAAAGAGTGGTGAGGCAGTGGCACAGGCTGCCCAGGGAGGTGGTGGAGTCACCACAGCCTGAAGGTGTTCAAGAACTGTGTGAATGTGGCACTAAGGAACATGGGTAGTGGGCATGGTGAGGATGGGCTAATGGTTGGACTAGATGGTCTTAGAGGTCTTTTCTAACCTTAATGATTCTGAGATTCTATCATTCATGCATAGTGCAGGTGAGCTGGTTTTCAGTTTAAATATCTAGTTGTTACTCAGCTGATGCAAGTTGTCTGAAGAGAAGGGAGAGGGATCCAAAACTTTTAGCCTCGGTGTTGTGGTGGTCAGAACTGTTCTCTGCCTGGCTTGGTGATGTTTTCATGATTTTAGATTGCCCCCACTTCCTTTCATTGTGGATATTGCCTTCATATATTTTGCAAATGCTCAACATCCATCTTGTTAGAAGTGCTGTCTCTAGGACAGATGCTGGTAATTTTTGCCTCCTATCATGGCACATTAGGGAATCTGTTTGGTGAACTGGATTTACAGACTACACATTTTGAAAAGTAGAATTACTCTTCTGTACCATCCTATCATGTTTCCAACAAAGTAACATCTTTTTATGGTTGGTTTTTTTTATCTCATACCATTGGTGTCATAGAACTCTATCTGTTTAGATGCCCCATATTAATCCTTATAATGAGGTAACTTGGAATTATTCTAAATAATGTTTCTCATATAAATACTTCCCTATTTCATAGGAAACGCTTCCCGTGTTACGTGGCTCTGGTGGGAGTTGAGCTAAAGTCTCTTAAATCCCCATCTTGGACTCTATCTGTAGGGAGGATCTTTCCTCTCCTAGGAGGTGCAGGCATGCTGTGCAGTATGCCCATAGAATCATAGATTCATGGAATCCTTAGAGTTGGAAGGGACATTCATAGGTCATCTGTGGGAATACAAGAAAAACTATTCAGAGCAGGAGCTGTGAATCAAGATAAACAGCAGTCATCTAGTCCAACTCCCCTGCCATGAACAGGGACATCCATCAGATTGCCCAGAGTCCAGTCTAGCTTGGCCTTAAAAGTCTCTCCAGGGATGGGACATCCACCACATCTCTGGGCAGCTGGTTCCAATGCTTCACCACTCTCACTGTAAAATACTTTTTCCTTCTATCTAAATTAAATCTACCCTCTTTAAGCTTGAAATCATTTCTCCTTGTTCTATCAGAACAGACCCTGCTAAAGAGTGTGTCCCCTTCTTTTCTGTAGCTCCCTTTTAGCTACTGAAAGGCTGATTTTTCCGTCAGGCCATGTACAAAATCCAGTATTGTTCTCTGTTTCATCCATGGTGTGTGCCTGATATTCTGCAGATTGGCATGAAATCATCTTAAATTTTTTTTTTTTTTTACTGTATCCAGTGTTTTGATGCACTTGAAACCACTTTGCTTGATATCATTATGGCAATTTTCTGAAATGAAGGCAGCAGCAGTATGATCTGTGACTGCAGCAATTCTGTGCCCTTAACAGCACTGCAGAATCAATTGGAGAAGAGCTTTCTTGTGTGGTGTCTTCAGACACAGAGAGCCTGGGATGAGATTGCCATAGAAACCCTTGTGGAGGATGTATAAGTCATCCGGCTTTGTTTATTCTGATCTAATAACAAGTGAATTTCTCCAGCCAGATACTTCAAACGAAGCATGGTTTTGGCAGGCTCTTTTCATCTTTCTGAGGCAGATAGTATTTTGTACTTGTAGAGTGTATGGAATGAGCTTGGCCAGCGATTTGGGGTCCTTTGCAGCTTTATCTCTACACCAAACTCAGAGACTGTGGAGGAGTCAACCAGTACTACACCAGTCTTGGGTATTGGAAGCCGTGATGATGATGAGAGGAATCCCAGGGTGAGGAAAACATCTCCAAGTGCAGTGCAGTGAAAGGCTGTGGATCAGTGCCTGCTGCAATCACAGGAAGGGCTCTGTGTGTGCTTGTCAGGGCATAGGTCTCCAGCTTAGGAAGGAGAAGGCACTCAGGTGGGGTGGCAGTGGTAGAAATATCTGTGCTCTAGTCGTGCAGGCATACATAAGAAGTGTATCAGTGAAATGTCTTGCTTGAGTCTCGGCTGTAGCCTGGGAGTTCATAGCCCACACCAGGCATGGCCTGGTGTGCCGTGCTTGAAGGACAACTTGGATATTGTGTTTGGTTTCAGAGCAACGTGTAGTGAGGGGACATGGCAATCTCTTTTGAGGCTAATTAGCCCATGTCTCAAAAGCACACAGGCTTTTTTGACCTGTGGGGTTCTTAAAACATGAACATGGAAGCGCCTCTGTGTAGTGCACTTCAGTTCAAACTGGAAAGGAGCTGAAGAGTTGAGTTCAGCAGCTATGTGTAGATATTCTCTGCATGTGAGTGTTCTTGCTAGTCCTCCATTCTCAAAGAAAGTTGTATCTGTGCTTCAAACAAACAAATGCACAGTAACAATCTTCAATCAGCATATTTTGTTTGTTTTCTCCCCAGCCTCTATCCCTGCCTACCTTTTTTGCTGATTTTATTCCATTAAGAGAAGAAAACTATTTTAATCTGGGATTGCTCTATTTACTTATTTATATTTATTTTCTGCATTAATAAACATAGTTTTATATTTGACCTTTTGACTCCAATCTTCAGCTTTTAACCTTAGGGAGATAAAACTATCACCACCTCTGCTTATGCTGTGTCATTGGCCTTTCAAGTTTCATAAACCTGAATTTACAAATTGGCACTGTTTTTAATTCTCTGTCAGGCTCTCTGTCAACTGCTGTTATCACTGTCCTGGTGTATCTCTTGTCCTCTTCCAGTCTCTATAGCTCTGAAGCTGGGTTTTTTTCTGGGTTTTTGTTGCTTTTTTTTCTTTTTTGCATTGGTCCACAGTGATTTTTGGGTTAACAATAACAAATCTAAAAATCTATTTGGCTGGAGTGCAAGATTAACAAACAAGCAGGATAGAAGACCTCAGTCATATTACCATGCGTTCTTCGTACTTTAGCTGCCTTTCTTTATTAGGACACATCATATAATTAAGGTATGAACCAACATTCAATTTAACTTCCAAACTAATTCACTGAAATCATTATTCTTTCTAAAGAGCTGTACTATGTGGTTATAGCTGTTGTATACAGTATGAAATAAGAGACAAGCTCGTCAGTCTTCGACACTAATGAGGTTATTGGATTTGCATAGTCCTTTTTTTTTCATACCTAGACCAGATTTTCTGCCATTTCATGTTCCTATGCATGTTTTCAAAAAACATGTATCTATCCAATATCTGTGCATGTCATATTTATATCGACTATCTTGTAAAAGAATTACATAAAGAATTCATAAAGAATATATAAATTCAAGTTTCCATTTTATGTGTTTAGGAAATCCAAGTTTCTGTGACAGTAACCAGTGTGAATTTTTGAAAAAAAATAATTCTTCCAAATATAAAATATTTATTTATAAGAAAATGCTGCAGTTTGCGTTTCCAGCGCTGAAGACTTATGTTGTCTATGTTTATGCTGAGGATGAGAACACTGTCAGCAAAATGACTTAAGAATGAACAATAAGTATAATTAACTGTCGTCTGTAGTGTCTCACACAAGAAAAGTTATTGAAAAAAATCATATCAAATAATAAGATGTTCACTCCTACTGAGAAATTTTTTGTCAGTGTAAGACATTTGAATTTCCTCTCTTCTTGCTTCCATTAAATCCTGTCCCACAACCGTATTAAAAGATCACATACACAGAAGTTTATGGGCTGTTCTGTATTGTCCTCAGTATAAATGAGTACTCTTGGCGCTCTTCAGAACCTTAGAATAATTCCTCTCATCTGACCTTTTAAGACTTGCATTCTTTGTGGGTTCACAAACAGTTGCTTTTAATCAAATTTTGAAGTAGTGTAATATACATGAATATAATATTATTATTCCTTACTACAGGGTATGTTAGAAGTTCTGATCAATAAGTCTGGCTTTTGTATACTTAAAGAGGGGAAACAACTCTAGAAGAACAATGTTTCAGTGCCAAATTGCCCTGCAGGACAATGGGATAATCTGACTTCAGAAGCTCGTGATTGCTTTTAACAATTTCATTTCTCATTTGTAAAAAGTGAAAGGGACTTCTGTCCTATTGAATTTTTGGTTCTCTGTAATGTGTCTATCACAAAATCCCATAATTAGATAATTTTTGCTGAGACGGTAATTCCTGTTATAAAGTATCTACATACAGGCTGTTTGATTGCCATGATCAAATTCTGTTGTTTAAAATTAATCTTGACAGTGAAGCAGACTTTTAAATAAGTGAGGACAATGGATAGGAGCAGAGTGAAGAGTTGGGTGAGAGAAGAAATGTGCTAGAACATATCTGTTTGGTATGTTACTATTCCTATCACTCTAGCCACACAAGCTCCATGTGATGGACTCCCCCTTTCTATGCACTACACAAAAGAAAAATGAGATGCACGCCCGTAGCAACAGAGATTAATTTCTTTAAAAAGCCAAAAATGCTAACCCAGAGGAGGCGACTTAAATCTGTGGAATGTTGTTTATGCAGTTGCTTATAATATGCAACTAAACAGCAGTCATGTGATTTCTGTGAAAAGTTTCAGAATTCTTGCAGGAATCTTTGAAAATATTGTTATAGTTCCTGATCATGAAGCCTTGATTCAGTTTTGGACCATTGTGTTTAATAGCTGCCACTTGGTTTAGAGCATGCTATCTCTTTTTTTTTTTGTAGGCTTGTCGGCTGCCAAGCTGCTCTATGAGTTTGGGCTCAATGTGGTGGTGCTCGAGGCCCGGGATAGAGTTGGAGGAAGGACGTTCACCATCAGGGTAGGTGCTTCCTAAAATTTGTGACGCTCTCTCTTGTGCTGGTACTGCAAATGTCACACCTGTCTTCCAGAAGGACAAGAAAGAGGACCCAGGGAACTACAGGCCTCAAGCTTCAATTCAATCAATTTCCAGGCATCTGAAGGACACAAATTTAGCAGTCTGCATGGATTCAGCAAGGGGAAGTCATACTTGATAACTTATGATGAAATGACCATCATGATAGACAGTGTGAGAGCAGTAGATACTGTCTGCCTGGACCTCAGTAATTTGGAAGTGTCTTCCATAACATCCTCATAGAGAAAATATGAAGTATGGGTAGTTAAGCAGATAGTGTGATTGAAAACTACCTAAATGGAAGGTCCCAAAGGCTAGTGAACACTTCTATGAAGTGTGGAGGGAGACATGTACCTAATGGTGTATCCGAGGGGTCCAGTCCTGTTCAACCTATTCATTAATGTTGCTAGGAACATTTAGATTGGAAAAGACCCATAAGATCATAAAGTCCAACCACCACTTAATAGTAATTCCTGTCCTCCAGCACCACCATCTACAGATCTCTTAAACACCTCCGAGGATGGCACCTCTACCACTTCCCTGGACAGCCTGTTCCTATGCCAAACCATCCTTTCCATGTAGAAATTCTTCCTGAGATCCAGTCTAAACCTCTTGTAACACAACTTGGGACTACTTCCTTGTGTCCTATTGCCTCTTACTTTAGAAAAGAAATTGACTCTCACATTGCTATGTGCTCCTATCAGGTGATTGTAGAGAGCAGTGAGGTCTCCTCTCAGCCTCCTTTTCCTCAGACTAAACAGCTGCTGCTCCTGCTGCTGCTCCTCATATGTCTTGCTTTCTTGTCTCTTCACTAGCTTTTTTCTGAATATGTTTCAATGACTCAGTATCCTTCTCACAGTGAGGGGCCTAAAACTGAACACTGTGGTTGAGGTGCTATCATATCCATGTCACGATCTGAATGGTGGGGTAAAGTGTATCCTCAGCAAGTTGACTGATGATACAGAAATGAGATAAGTTGTTGGTAAGTAGAGAATCATACTGCCATCCACACGGACCTGGACAGGCTGGAGGAATGGCTTGATGGAAACCTCATGAAGTTTTGCAAGGGGAAGTACAAAGTCCTGTACCTGATGAGGAACAGCCCTAGGCATGAATGAATGCTGAGGGTCACCCAGCTGGAAAGCAGATTGGCAGTGAAGGACCTGAAAGATTCTAGTATACACCAAGTTGAATGTGAGCCAGCCATATGTTGCAAAGAAATCTCATGTTTTTTGGGGGGCTTGCATTAGGCAAAGTATTGGCAGCAGGTGGAGGGAAGTGATCTACTCAGCACTAGTGAGGCTACATTTGGAGGACTGTGTCCAGTTTTGGGATCCCAGTTCAAGAGAGGCAAGAACATGGAATTATAGAAATCTGTGATTTGGGTGGAAGGAACCTTTAAAGATTATCTCCTCCAAGCTGCAAGCGTGCACTGCTATATCATGTCCAGTTTTTCATCCACTAGTATCCTGAAGTCCTTCTTCATGTGGCTGCTTTCCATCCATTCCTCCCCTAGTCTGTACTGATACCAGAGGTTGCCCTGACCAGATGTTTGACATTGCACTTGGCCTTGTTGAACTTCATGAGGCTCATATGGATTTTTTTCTCAAGCCTGTCCAGGTCCCTTTCACAGAATTGCAGAATCACCAAGGTTGGAAAAGACCTTCAAGATCATCCAGTCCAACCATCCACCCATCACCAATAGTTCTCACTAAACCATGTCCCTCAACACAACGTCCAAACATTGCTTGAACACCTCCAAGGTTGACTCCACCACCTCCCTGGGCAGCCCATTCCAGTGCCTGACCACTCTTTCAGAAAAGTAGTATTTTCTAATGTCCAGCCTAAATCTTCCCTGGTGCAGCTTGAAGCCATTCCCTCTAGTCCTATCACCAGTTACACGAGAGAAGAGGCCAACCCCCAGCTCACTATAACCTCCCTTCAGGTAGTTATAGAGATCAGTGGGTCTCCCCTGAACCTCGTCTTCTCCAGGCTAAACAATCCCAGCTTCTTCAGCCGCTCCTCATAAGGTCTGTGCTCCAGACTCCTCACCAGCTTTGTTGCCCTTCTTTGAACTCGCTCCAGGGCCTCAATGCAGTGAGGGGCCCAAAACTGGACACAGTACTCGAGGTGCGGCCTCACCAGAGCTGAGTACAGGGGGACAATCACCTCCCTGTTCCTTCTTGGCCACTGCTGGCTCATATTCAGATGCCCTTTGGAGGGCATCTCTTATTTCTGTCATATCAGCTGCATCATGGTGCTCTGTGTTTCTGCAAACTTGCTGAGGATTCACTCAGTCCTACCATCTGTGTCTTTAATAAAGATATTAAATAGTACAAGTCCCAGTATCAAACACACTGGAGAGAATCTAACAAAGGGCCACTACTAAGATAATGAAGGAATTTGAGCATTTTCCTATGAGGAAAGGCAGAGAGAGAGATGAGACTGGTTGGCCTGGAGAAGAAAAGGCTCAGGGGAGGACTTTATCAGTCTCTATAAATATATGAAAGGAGGATGAAAAGAGGGCAGAGCCTTGTTCTTCTCACTGGTGCCAAGTGACAGGACAAGAGGCAATGGGCATAAACTGGCACAAAGGAGGTCCCATTTGAAAACCAGGAAATACTTTTTTTTTCTCTAAGATTGACTGTGCACTGGTACAGATTGCCCAGAGAGGTCTTCCTCCTTGGTGATACTCAAAAGCAATCTGAGCACGGTCTTGAGCAAGCAGCTCTTGGTGGCTTGAACACAAGTTGCATCACATATATGCCAGTGGGCTCCTCTGACAGGAGGCACTTTAAAATTGATCTGGATGTGATGAAATGGAATTTGGATTCCTAAGAATCTTATGCATGTAGTGCCATTTTAGCTGAACTGTGGTACCTTGCCTGGCCTCTGGTAGCAGGTTTTCTGTAGGTGCACTGGATACCTTAGGCTGTCTAAAACATTGTTAATCATCTTTATTAAGGTAATTGATCTCGGCCCAGATTGCCCATATCCTTTGTCCATGGCAGGATCTCCTCTGCATGTAACTAGCGATAGGACAAGAGAGAATGGCCTCAAGTTGCACCAGGGGAGATTCAGGTTGGATATTAGGAAGAATTTCTTCTCCAAAGGAGTGATGAGGCACTGGAACAGGCTGCCCAGGGAGGTGCTGGAGTCACTGTCCGTGGAAGTGTTTAAGGAAAGGATGTAGATATAGTAGTTAGGGACACGATTTAGTGGGCAATATTAATGGTAGATGGATGGTTGGACTAGATGATCATAGAAGTCTTCTCCAACCTCAATGATTTTGTGATTATAGAGAGAAACCATCATCTGAGACTGTGAATGTCAAAATATTTCTCCTCCCATTCCCCTCTCACTTTGCAAACTGTAGCAGGCATGATAGCTATGTAGGAAGCAGCCTGAGCAGGGCCAGACATCACTACAGCACAGGCATATGTTTTAGCATGGCTTAACATTATCCTGCTTTTAAAAATTGACTGCATCTTGGCTGCCATTGAAAAGAAAATGAAAGAAACGATGAGTCACCTGAGGCACAGGGTAACGTAATACAGATGTTAACTCTGCCTCCCAGTCTAAAAATGGGAGAGATTTAAATTAGGTCAGATGCCATTGCTTGGGAAAAAGTGGTAAACAGTGTTGTTTCAGTAGAAATAATTGTACATGAAACATAAACAGCATCCCTCTGCGATGCTGAAAATGCCTGGCTTCAGATGCTCGCTATAAACAGCGTTAAAAAGTTAACTGTCCTAAGTGTTACTGCCTTGGAAAATCAGCCTGCTTTTAACAGCATGTATCTCAAACTTCTTGCTTTCTGCCTGCTTCCCAAGTGAGTGTGATGCTGGTCCAAGTGTTGTGTGCAGACTGCCTTTGCTGGCAGGCATGGCTAGAGGCTGCTAGCCCAGGTGCAGCGGGGTAGATCCACAGTGTGCTGTGCTGTAAAGAAGCTTACATCCTTTGAATACTGCACTGCAGTGCTCAGCATCTACAGCATTAAATGTAAGCAGGTATCTGCAGAGAGAGAAGAAAAAAGAAACAACCCTGGTGCTTGAGATAGTTTTGATTTGAGAAAGGTTTTGCAATGGCAAGTAAAGTATTATGAGTGCTGAGAGAGTGAGGTTAGACTTCTTACCAAGGTATTTAGTTAAGATATTTCTTTATATTCTCATGCCTTTTGTGTAAACAAAAAGTGAGTACTGAAAACTATAGTGAAATTTAAACAAGTTAAGCCCTGTTGAACATATGCGTGGTAAAGACTCTAATCTTTTGTGTGTCTGTCATTACAGGGCTCACTGCTTACGTTAGTATGCCTTGTCTCCTCTTCATATTGTTGCAATGCTATTCAGTATGGAATAATTTTTCCTGATTATAGGTGTTTGTACTGAGGAGTTTCCTACAGAGCTTTTGATTCCTGTATTATTTCTTTTGACAGAACAAGCAAGTTAATTACGTAGATGTTGGTGGAGCATATGTGGGACCTACACAAAATCGTGTTCTCCGGCTGGCAAAAGAACTGGGTATTGAGACCTATAAAGTGAATGTAGATGGCTATTTCATCCATTATAAGTGGGTAAGTGTTACATCTTTCATGTTCAGATACTTAAAGATAACACTGAATTTTGGAAACTGCTGGCAGTCATTCAAGGGGTTTCATTTAAAGCTTGCTCTTGGGAATCCCATTAACACCTGTTGGAAGTGTTGTTGCTCTCCTATAACTTCCTGGCAGTTAGATAAATGATTCTTGTTTTCTTTTGAAAAGGCCTCAAAAAATTAGACACGTGGCATTCTAAAATTTGATACATTCAGCACCTGATTATCTTTTCACACATTCTCTTAAGGGATTGTTGCCTGAAAATTCTCTTTCTGAATTACAAGCCCAGTTCAGTACTGGAAAAAGAATAATGCTATTGGATAATATTGAATAATGATATTAAATGACAGTATTTTAGGACTAGCCTTGTAGTATTGTAATGTATTTGGCCCACTTGTGTAGGTAGCTTCACATGAGGTATCTCCCAGTCCTTTAGAGTGGGATTCATCTTACTTAAAATTGGATGTCTAGAAATTGCACACTTGCTGAGATTCTCTGGCTTGTGGTGAGGAACAGGCACTTCCAAGGCTCACCATAAACATGTCTGAGATGTGAGACAGAGGGAGTTTGAATAACTTCTTCTGGTTAGGTATGGTTAAATGGCTAAAGTGAACTGAAATGAAAACTATCTTTAGAGCAGTTTATCAGCTCTTGTCTTAGTTCTTTAACCCACCAGTTTTTTATTCAGGTCCTACTCAGGACCAGTACAGAGGGAGAGTGGTAGAGAGAGAGACAAATGTATAAGGTGCTAAGTGTCCATCTCCATAACTCACAAATTACTTTCCTTTTTTTTTTTTTGTTTTTTTTGAATATCTTTTTGTTTTGGTACTTCCCAGACATTGGCAGAACAAGTCTTGAAGCCTATGTGAGGGAGAATTGACCTGCTTGATAGAGGCAAGTCTATGTGGTGGATCCTTAACTGATTTAATTTTTATTATCTTCCCACTTTTTCTTCCTAGTATTAGAGCAATAAGCTCACGCTGGAAAGTTCAATGGCCTACTTCTGTAGTTTCTCCTTACTGGGGAGATTCATGCCATGCTCATAGAATAGTCACATCTTAAATAATTGTATAGTCACTCCACTCAAAATATTAACCACCTGGTGTAAAGTTGACATAGTTCTATGGCAAGAGAGCTGGGCTGATTTTACCAGCTGTATGCTTGGCCCACTGTATTTAATTTGAGCACACACATGGAACTCTTTGCTTCTTAAAAGGCACTTATCTTCTGTGTGTTAAATAAAAGGCTCTAACGGGTTTCATGAATTTGAGTCCTTAATCCATTTTGACGCTGAAAATACAGCTTTTTCTGTCCCTTATTACATTATGCATGTTCTTGCTAATGACCAAGTAATTTTGTAAGTTTTCTTTGAAGTGGAATCATGTTCCTAAGCAAGAGGTGGAATTATGAGCTGTTAGCTGGATCACAGGCTGTGGATCAATTCTAGACTGGGCATTGTGGTCATGCCAAGAAAACCAAGGTTCCCAAGAGAGGCGTAGCTGTTGAACAGGAGGACAGCAAAGAGAATCTGAGGTCTCCCTGTGTGGAAAGACTTAAACATCAAATAAATAATAATTATGCTTTTCCTCCAGTGTGTCTCACTCCTCCCACAACCTCTTCCCATGAATTGCAGGTTTTTTGTTTTCTTTCCCTAAGGTCTTTCACTGTTTTTTCTCCTTACTTACTTCTTCCCTGAGAGCTCATGTAGTCACCATGTCCTTTGTTTCAGGGATTTGTTATTGAACTTCTGCTTGAAACTTTTTGAAAACAAACTGTGCAGTCCAGGGTATTGGCTAGGTTGATGAATGCTCAGTGATCTTAGGGCTTGTACTTTTTATCTATCGTGCACTGACAGTGAGAGTTCCTGGTGGAGATTTGTGCTTTCTTTGCTATAGATGTACATTTCATGTTAATCAGAGGTGCTTAGGGAACCCAAAGTAGTATTTCCTAGAAGATAAAAAATGTGTTACTGAAGAAGTGAGTTGATATTAGAGGATATTGCCCCAGAAATTCAATATTAATCTAGAAGAGGGATGTGTTCAGCTTCTTGGATACTGCCAGCTGTGGGCCAGCTTCCCTTTGAGTTTGAGGAGTCGGCCTGAAGGCTTTTCCCCTTGCATCTCATGTACTGTTTCTGTCCCTTAATAGCTGTGGAGGCAGGGTCAGACAGGAGGGGCTCAACACAAGGGCCTATCTGTGGACTCTGCCATCCTGCAGCAGTTTTGTCAGAGCTGAGAGGGAGAGTTGTACTGAGGAAAGGCCGAACATTTCTTTAGATGTAGTTCTGACAATCATTCATTCAATCATATGTGATCCCCACCCATGCCCAGATGAAGAGATTTTTCGCTGTTTGTTTACCACAGTTGTCAGTTCAGTTTGGCTCCTTCTGCAGGTTTCCAGGATACAGCTTGGGCTGGGTTAGGGAAAAGTAGGAAAGTGATTTATCCAGAAGGGGAAGCTGCCAAGGGAAAGTGGAAGTCACCCTGAGGGATTTCATGAGCTGCTGTGCTCTGGATGGAATTTTTCCAGTATGTTTGTGGAAAAATCCCACATGCTAGATGCTTTAGAAACTGTGTTGCTTGGTGTGGGCAGCTTTGCTTTGTAGTGTTGGTTTATTTGAAATTCCAAATATGTAATTATAGTTTATCTTTTCTTTTATATATTCATTCTCTCCCATCAGTTAGCATGGTAACATGAACTGCTTTGATATCAATCAGAAACTTGTTTGTATCCTGTCATTGAAAATCTGTAACTTCTGGGCGTAGGTTTTTTTGCCAGGCTTTCTTTCCAGCCAGATTGCTCTGTGGCTGCTCTCCCATAGTTCATAAAGAGCATTTTTGGACTGAGAAAAGGCAGATGTGCTGAGGTTCTGTCTTTCCAGAAGGGGCAGATAGCTTTGCTTTTTTACAGAGGTCCTTGAAATTTGCTGTGCTTCATTTTCACCTTCTTTTTAGCAGAAGACCTTCATGCTTTGGTATTGTATTAACCTCCTCATATGAAAGCAGTCCTCTAGGTGCGTGGCTGCAGCATTCAACTCCACCTGACAGCAGTAAATAAGGACTGGTTTTGCTTATTTGTTTGCTTACCATTTTCAGAGCAAGGTAACCCGTGACAAAAGATGAGCATTTTTTTAATGCGGTGCTTCACATTCACCATTCTAGTCTTCTCTTTCTCTTTCCTTCATTTGGCTTTAAGATTAAGAGATTAACATTGTCACAGTACGTCTGTGCAGATGGCTGTATATCTGCAGTCCAGGCATGGGAATCAAAGGCAGCTCCAGGTACTGCAGAGCTTGCTAGGTTAGACCTGCTAGAGGTGTTTAGCAGGGAGGAGTGCACACCAGAGACTCATACCTTAAGGAGCTGCTGCTACAGCTGTGCATGCTGTATATGGCCCAGGAGCAGTAGGAGTTTTGTTCCTGAAGCACAAGAAATGTTCTTTCTGTGCTTCTGACACATAGATGGTCTCAGTACAGAGGCCAGGAGCCAGGCTTTTTCCACAAGCTGGCAAAACCAAGGTACTTGTAGATGATAGTTCTACACAACTTTATTTTTCAAAGTGATTTGATTTCTTCACAGCTTCATAAACATAAAGACACCACTGAGGTTTAAATACCCTATTTATTTCATAGATATCATCAAAGATCTTAGTAGTTAAATCAAGAAGTCAGTAAGGTTGGAGAAGATTGCTGAGATCATCTAGTCCAGCCATCCACCTATCACCATCATGCCCACTAAACAATATTCCTAAGCAAAATTGTCCATTCTTGGGGTGGTGTCACCACTTGGGCTATATTTTTGTAGCAGTGGCTACAAGCTGCAGCTTAACTCTGGGCAGAGAAAAGACAGATCTTGGACAGCACAGCATCTTTCTGAGGCCTTGCTAGTCATAGAACTACAGTGCCTGGGGATATAATTTCTTTGGATTGATGTGGGATAATTAATCCAGGCAGGCAGCAGGACGTAACTCTGAGGTCTGCAGGAAAGTATTCAACATGCCAGGAAATGGGAAAAAAGAATTAGATAAACTCTGTGAGGCGATCAAGCAGCCTTGTGTTAGCATGGGAACAAAGCCAGGAGGTTGTTTGCCTTTCAGTTAAGAAAACAGTGGTTCCCAAAATAATCTACCCAGAACACTGTAAACTTGTTTAAAAATGGACTGTTGCAAGATCTTGGCTGTTTGCAGCGACCTTCTCTGTGAAGCATGTGACCAGAGCTTCTGTGCCTAGCAGGGAGCTGATATTAAAAACCAATGAATAATTCACCAACCCCATGCCATATGGGCTGGATTAGTCCCTGCTATGGAGGAACTTCTGTGAACAAAGAGATCTGGCTCTCTGTCTGGTAGACAATGGAAATTTCTCTCCTGGAACTTAGAAGAATGGGGCTTGTGTCCAATTGGCTCTGACCTGTTACAGGTCCAGACCCCTGCACAAGTTGTTAGTGAGCCTGTGAACTGTTCCAGGCTCTATAAATTCTGTCTCAGCCCCTTCCAGGTCAGTTGGTATTGCATTTTTCCAGTTTTTCCTCCCCTTGTCTTGAATCCTACTAGAGTTATGAATTTTGCATGCATAAGAGAACAGAAAATAACACTGATTTAGACTGTGTTCATTGTCATTTGGTAGTTGGTAGTTCTGAGAGGGTTAAAATACACTTTCCTATTGATCTTCTCAGCCTTTGCCACTGACCAAAGACGTAAAATGGTAGTTCTTTTTATTTTTTTTAAATAGCAGTTAAGTGAATATCCATTGTGACATACCGGTGGCCTGGGCTATAAGATTTCTTGATTAGTTCTCAATGGATTGTGGTCATGTTGATTTAAAGCTAGTGTAGTGTGGACAATTTGGAGGAAGATGTGAGGCAGGCAGGCAGTGGGCAGGTTCTCTCTGCCCCAGTCGTTCCATCTGCAGCCATCTGCATGATAGGTTTGGGAGTTTCTGAACCTGGAACTGTTTAACATGGTAGAGTCAATACTGGGAGTTGGAAAAGTTTTGGCACAAACCCCATCACAGAGTTACCTAGTGATACTTTTCTTGGGCTGTTGTTTCAAGAAATGTGAGGGATATGTTTGACTGGGAAAAAAAAAAAAAAAAAAAAAAGGAAAGAAGCCTTAAAAGTTATTTATTTTACTTTCTTTTAAAAATAAGTGCTGCTTTTTGTTGTTGTTTTTTCTTTTTGAGTTCTGTGAGCCAAGGACAGGACAAGTGTTTTCAAGTTACACCACTCCATTCAAACACTCTCTAGAAAAGCTTAGAAGAACATCTTACTTTACTAAACCGTGGGAAATTTTTCAAACTGAACAAAACAGCCCTGAACTGGGCATTCTTTTTTCCCTTGCAGTATCACCATGACAAGATTTCAGTAATAACTAATATTTACCTGTTAACATTGCTCTTCACCTCTGCTTCAGGTCAAAATTATTAGTTTTAAAGCACATAAAGGAAGACATGTTGATGCCACCTGCATTTCTGACCAGCATTAAATAAACTCTGATGGAGTGCTGTGTGATAATCTTTTGAAAAACAAAATGCTGTGCAGTAAGAAGAAAATGATCACCGAAGTATTACTGCTTTGCATAAGGATTACCATGCTTGATACAGCATCAGTTTGTTAGAGTAGAAGCTATAGCATGCAGTTGGCCACATTGAATACATTTTTTTGGTCCATTTTTCTGTGTCTGAACGTGCAGTGAGGAATAGTCTGCCCAGAGAAGCTGTGGTGCCCCATCCCTGGAGGCACTTAAGGCCAGGTTGAATGGGGCCCTGGCAGCCTGAAGTGGTGGGGGGCAGCCCTGCCCACAGGGCTTTATGTTTGAATACTGCTCAGGAAAAAGGAAGGGAACATTCCCCTACTGGTAGTTTGTAGGAGCATTTTCTCTGTTCTTGCTGTGGCAGGAGTTTGTTTTGCATGCACACACGCACCTGGAGAAGGCTGGAGCAACCTCCCTAGCCAACTTGTACATACCCAGTCCTCCTCATGACTTGGTCCCCTGCCCAAGTACTCCTCCTTCTGCTGTTGCACCAGTTCTGGGCATGGCAAAAGTTGACCCAAATGTGAGAGTTTGGCTTTTCTTACTACTTTTCTCAAGTCTGAAAGTTCAGTATGCTCTCTAAGTTTCATACTGAGCCATTTATTTTTGTTAAGATCTTTGCAAAGAAATGGTCTGGAAAATGTCAGAAATATGCACATAGTTATCAGTGGGGAAGACTTTGGTGGGTTGGTATGGCATATGCATTGCACAAGAAGCATATTAAACACAGCATAGCACCACAGCTCCTACCTGCCATGGTCCAGCATGTTCCCTGCATCCTGCCACGTTACCTGTGCAAACTTTTGACACACCTGGAAAAGCAAATATTTAAAAGTCCTGGTGAGACATTTGCACTTGAGTTACATGGGAAATGGTTCAAAGCAATTTAATATGAGAAAATGCTGCCTGCTCATCCAATCCTCTTTCAGATTAATATTATCAGAAAGAACCAGACGCCGTTAGATTGTTTTGCTTATCTTTATATCACAGAATTATCTGTAAATGGTCTGTATTCCTGTTGCAACTGTGTATCTTGAGCATTGTAAGTACTGATAATATTGTTGCAAGTGTGCAGAGTTTTTCTTTCTGCAGCTTAAATCTTCCTTTTTGGCAAAATAATTTTTGGGGGTCTATTTTTCTCTCTAGACGCTTGGAATAATAAAGAGATATGTTTATTTTATAAAGGTGAGGTGTGTCATAAAGGCACTTAGATAGTTAGAAATTTTAAAATGTGTGCAGTTTTGAACCCATGCAAATTGCCCAGCAGGCAGGTAAGCACATTCTGCAATATAAAGATATGTTGATGTGTGGTAATGAAGAATGCGTAGGAACAAGGAATATCACCTCCTTGGCCATTGCCTGAGTTTCTATAGCCCAGAATTTGACAATCTGTCCTGGACAAAATAAAAAACAACAGCTGTAATATCAGCCCAACTACTCTTTTTTTCTTCATACTTAGCTTCATGCATTCAATTGTTAACACTTCTGTGCGGGGAAAAAAAAATATAGTAAGTCTTTGGGGCCAAAAGTTTGACTAAGTGATGACTTTGGGAATACTGTGTTCATGATTAATGTGGATAGGCTTTCTTGGTGTCTCTCTTACTTATGTTGCTTATATTCTTATTTTAGGGAAAGTCACGTCAGTTCATGAGTTTTAACCCTCCAACATGGAATCCCTTAGTGTATCTGGATTACAATAACTTCTGGAGGACCATGGACAAAATGGGAAAAGAGGTAGGCTGTGTTAATTCCACCTCTTTTTTGTAATGCTTATGTCACCATAAGAAAATCTGTCTTGTTTATATTTTTTTTTTCTCTGGCAGACTTTTTCTTGCTTCTTTAATATAAAAAAAAAATAAAAATAAAAAAATAAAACAGTAACTCTCATCAGGAAAGAAATCTAGATTAACCAGAAGCTATGAGCTATGATAGGGTTTTCTCACCAAGAAGGTAAAAAAAGATCTGACTGTCTAAGATATCTGGAAAAAAAAAAGTACTTTCAATGTATGTACTTAATGTTTGTACTTTCTCATGTCAGGGAAAAGCTCTACACAAACTGGGGTATGAGAATTACAACTGGAGGTCTTCCTGTGTACAAAAAAGTATCCCTTAGAGAGTCATACTGTTTTTCAAATATTTATCAGCTGCTTTATGGTCTAGCTACAATCCAGGGGCCCCACCATACAACAACCTCCAGGCACACTGTATATTTGAAAAGTCATGGCAGTCAGGTAAATTCCCTGGTGACTAGAATAAAGGCAGTGTCACATCCATTTTTAAGAAGGGTAGGAAGGACCACCCAGGGAACTACCAGACTGTCACCCTCACCTTTGTACTGGGGAAAATCATAGAACAGATCCGTCTAGAAGCTATGTTAAGGCACATAGAAGAGCAGGATACAAGACAATCAGCTTGGCTTCACCAAGGGCAGATCTTCTGGGCAGACCAACCAGGTGGCCTTCTGTGATGGTGTAACTGCAACAATGGACACGGGAAGAGCCACTGATGTCATTTATCTGGACTTGAGTAAGGTCTTTGGCACAGTACCCCACAAGTTTTTCTCTTAAATTGTAAAGATAAAGGTTTGACGGGTGGACTGTTCAATGAACAAGAAACTGTGAGATCATACCCAGAGAGTGGTAGTCAATAAATCAATGTCCAAATGGAGATCAGTGACAAACAGTGTCCCTCGGGGTTTAGTACTGGGACCAGTGCTCTTTAATATCAATGACATTGGCGTGGGATTGAGCACGCCCTCAGCAAGTTTGCAGTTGACACCAAACTGACACATCTGAGGGAGAGGATGCAACCCAGAGAGGCCTAGACAGGCTTCAGCAGTGGGCCTCCTTGAGCCTCATGAGTTCAGTAAATCCAAGTGCAGGGTCTTGCACCTGGGTCATGTCAACCCCTGCTAGCAGTACAACTTAAAGGATGTAATGATGGAGCACAGCCCTGACAGAAAGGACTTGGGGGTACTGGTGAATGGCAAGCTGAACATGAGCCATCAATGTGCCCTCACAGCCCAGAAAGCCAACCATGTCTTGGGCTGCATCCAAAGAATGGCCAGCAGGCAGGATGATCCTGTCCCTCTGCTCTGTGCTGGTGAGATCTCACCTGGAGTACCACGTCCAGATGGGGAGTCCTTCAGTACAGGAGAGGCATGGACTTGTTGGAGCGTGTCCAGAGGAGGATCACAAATATGATCCAAGGGATGGAGCACCTCCCCTATGAGGACAGGCTGACAGAGCTGAGGCTGTTCAGCCTGGAAAAGTGAAGGCTCCGGAGAGACCTGATAGAGACCTTTCAATATCTAAAGGAAAAAGGAAGGGGACGGACTGTTTAGCAGAGTTATTTTTTGCAGTAAGACGAGGAAAAATGGTTTCAAAGCAAAAGGGGGAAGATTTAGACTGGATATAAGAAAAAAGTGTTTAATGATAAGGGTAGTAAAGCACTGGCACAGGTTGTGGATAGATGTGGTGGATGCCCTGTCTCTGGAGACATTCAGACTGGATGGGACTCTGAGCAATCTGATAGAGCTGTTGGTGTCCCTGTATGTTGCAGGGAGTGTTACCATCTGGACTTCACGGCTCCCTTCCTACTTAAACAATTCTATGATTCTGTGAAGTTACTCCCGTCACAGCAAAGTTCATTTGGTGTATGTGATTTAGCACAATCAAATTTGCACACTATACTGTACATCTTTTTGTAAAATAATATGTATTTTTAAAACACTGAAAGGTACAATAGTGTACTCAAATGTCATGGATTATCAGTAAGAATTTAACTGTGTAAACATCATTTAATAGTATCCAGACATTTTTGATCTGTTTGTAGTTAACAGAGACATAAGGGCCTTCAGATATTTGCCTTATAACTCAGTGAATGTCTGGAGAAGGAGTTTTCTCGCTTTGCTTTTAGAGGAAACCAAGACAATTAAATTAGAATGCACACCTCCCTTGTAGATTACTAAAGGCCAGGTGAGTCCCAACATAAGGATATAATTCATTAGTCAAAGTCAGATTTAGTTCTCATGGTACAATTCATACCCAAGGGTATGAATTATAAAAGCTACTCCATTCAGTGGACTTGTTTCAAACTTACAGCCATGAACAGAGAACAAAAACAAGTCTTGGGGCCAGCATATCAGTCAAGTTTGTGCCACAAGCTAGCTACGACCTGGCAGTGATATAGTACTGAATTATTTCTTAAAGAAGTTGCTTCTGTCTTTAGATTCCTCCTGAAGCACCATGGGATGCTCCACATGCTGAAAAGTGGGACAAAATGACCATGAAAGAGCTGATAAATAAGATTTGTTGGACCAAGTAAGTAACTCCTCATTTCGAAATCAAGCCTAAAATGACAGTTGGCCTCGAGCAAATTCTGGAGTACAGCTGCATGAAGCTTACTTGTGAAGGACCTGCTTGTGTTTCCTTTGACTTCAGGTGGGGCACAATCAAATCTCTGGTGGGCCACGCACCCAGGGGATGGAGGGGTAGCTAGAGCCTGACTCAAAGAGGTATGAAACTTACCAGGAATTTGGAGGAAGTCTTTGTAAAGGAGTTGAGAAGTGTTACCATATGATGTGAAGCCTTGTAGAAAAATTCCTCTGGTCTTGAGTGCAGTTAGTGGTTTAGCTATAGGTAACTGACAGAGAAGATGAGATATAAACATCTATGATAAGCATACAGACAGCTCGAACTGACATAAAACAGTAGCTATTTAAACAAGTCTTTTGAAACACTCTTGAGAAGTTAAAGGTATGCCATCCACAAATAATAAAGAAGTAATTGCCAGTCATTTGAGCTGGCTAAGCTTTATTATCAACATCTGTTTTTATGATTTTAGTGCCTTTGAGCTCTATTCACAGACCAGATACTTACAGAGTAAGATGCTTTGTGAACACAAGAGAAATACATGGCATTTCACCCCAAGTGCTTACAGTTTAGTCTGAGAGATAGCAGGTGTATACACAGGCAATGAGAGGGCAGGAAATATTTGAGATGAGACTGATCTTATTGTTGTACTGCTGTTAGGTGCTGAATGAGGATGTGTGGATGACAGGGTAGTGCACAGTGCTTGTGTTGGCTGGCAGATATAATTAAAGATGCTAGAGGAACTTGAGGTTTTCTTCTGCAGACCCACATGTGGGAGTGACAGTATGTGCTCTTTTTACCATTTCCACTTAACTCAGTTAGGGAATTTACTTTTCTTTGTCTTTAGAAAAAGCAAAGTGTAAATAACTCCATTTTGTAAGTATGATTGAAGGTCACTGGCAAGCATAGAAATGGAGCCAGAAAAAGTGAAGAGTTTTGCCCAGCCCCATGGCAGAGTAGGAGCTGAGGAATGATGCCCTGTGACTGTGGCTATAACCTCTCCTACTTAGTTATAATGTGTGTCTGCTTTAGCCCTTGAAAGGAAACAGGGTCTTCTTGCTGCCTTTTACCTCCCTTGCTGTTTTGGCTTCCTGGCCTGAGCTGGACCAGGAGCTCTGTCTTCATCCCAGCTGGCCTCTTGCCATACTTGTCCAACTCTCTGCCCATTGCAAAGCACCATTCTTCTGCTCCAAAGAGCTGTCCTTGAGCATCAGCCAGTTCTGTTGGATTCCTTTGCCCTACCGGGTAGTTTCCCATGGGACCCTGCCAATCAGTTCTTTGAGGAAGCTAAAATTTGCCCTTCCAAAATCCAGGGTTGTAATTCTGCTGTTTATCTTACTCCTGCCAAGGTCTTAGACTCCACGGTCTCATGCTTACTGCAGCTAAGGATGCCTTTCACCTTTGCTTCATCGAACAGGTGTTCCTTGTCTGTGAGTAGCAGGTCCAACAGAGCATCTCCCTAGTTTGTAGGATCATGGCCCAGGTTACTGTATTGCTTAGAAGATGTGTGGTGCATTTTATATGCCTATGAAGGACAACACTGTGTGAATAGAAAAAGGAACAATGTTCACTATGGAATGATAACAGCTGGAAATACTCTTTTCTTCCTATCCTTTTCAATTAATTCTGTTTATTAGGCAAAGAGAAACGTGCTAGCACCTGTATCCCTGCATGCTTTGTTGGCCCTATGTTCTATACTACTCTCTTGCCTTGCATTCAGTATTTTTTATTTGTTTGACTGTGCTCTGTTTACTTTTTCATGCTGACTGTGGTTTAGCGCTGTGCCTGCAGCTTCCTGGCCAAAACTTTCCATTTGAAATTATATCACTGTGTTATATCTTACTCTGGCTGCATGTGATCTAAGATACAGTGATTTCAACTTTTTCTTGCTCTCTGTTGCATCGTAGTTTTCTTTACAATAAATTTCATGAGTTGTTTCTCTGCAGAGTCAGTCCCTTTGAGTCACCCTTTCTGTTCCAAGTGCACTGGCTCTTCCTCTTCTTGTTTTCTTGTTCCTCTTAGTCAGGAAGTCAGTGAAGTATAAGCAAAACTGGGTTTATAGTGATCTCTGTGGGAAAGTGCTCCTCTGCAAGGCTGTTTCTACTTTCAGTGGCTTTGTGACTCTGCAGTGTTAATGGATGTGCACAGTGGGAACACATTGAAAAACCTCTTTTAGATCTTCAAGACAAAACAGATTTTTTTTAAATAGTTAAGAACTGTACTGCCCTAAACAGAAAAGCTCTTTTACAGCATTTTCTGTATTACTTTGGTCAAGATTGTAACATAAGAATAATTTGTTATGTGTCATAGGTCAGCATGTACTGATCCTGGAGACTATCTTCACATTTCTCAGATTACAGCATTTTGTATTTCAGTGCTTTGAGGATGGTTACAGAGGGCTCTTGCATGCATGGTGTCTTCATATCCTTGCTAATGGACTAGAGGTGACTGGACTTCATGTCCAGAGAAATTGGGTTATAAAAGTTTATAAGTTATGTATTGGATTTCTTTGAGCTACTTACAGTGTTTAACTCTTGGTCTCACAAAAGCAGTGTGCAGCACAGTCGTGTGGAAGATGGGAAATGTCTTGGCAGTGTGTTTAGTTGAGGTCCTGAGGGCAAATTAGACCTTGGAAACAATGTGCCTTATGAGCACCTTGTGGAGGAGAAATGCAGATTTCCAGGTTACCAAATGCATTCTATTGTTGAGAAAAGTATATGTTTTGATGAAAGAAATGATGAGTGGAAAACTAATTAAGAAATAACTGAGGTAAAATCAGTGGGATTCAAAATTATATGGGTGAATGTTTTGGGAGAAAAGGAAGGAGATCTTGATATAACCATTGAGGCCAGTCAGCCTCACCTCTGTCTCTGCAAAAATGATGGTACAACTTGTTCTGGATGCCATCTCCAAGCAATTGAAAGAGAGTAAGGTTATCCAGAGTAGTCAACGTGGATTCACCAAGGGCAAGTCATGCTTGACCAACCTGATAGCCTTCTATAATGTCATCACTGGCTGGGTAGATGCAGGGAGAGCAGTGAATGTTGTGTACTTGACTTCAGCAATGTGTTTGACACTGTCTCCCACAACAACTTTGTTAGGAAACTTAGAAAATGTGGGATAAATGAGTGGATGGTGAGGTGGATTGAGAACTGGCTGCCTGACAGAGCTCAGAGGGTGGTCATCAGTGATCAGAGTCTGGTTGGAGGCCTGTAACTAGCGGTGTTCCCCATGGCTTGGTACTGAGTCTGGTCTTGTTCAACATCTTCATCAGCAACTTGGATGAAGGGATGAAGGTTCAACAGAACCTGTACAGACTGGAGAGTTGGACAGGGAGGAACCTGATGGGGTTTAACAAGAGCAAGTGCAGAGTCTTGCACCTGGAGAGGAATAACCACATGCATCAGTACAGGTTAGGGGCTGACCTGTTGGAGAGGAGCTCTGCGGAGAAGGACCTGGATGTCCTGGTGGACAACAGTTTGTCCATGAGCCAGCAGTGTGCCCTTGTGGCCAAGAAGGCCAGTAGTATCCTGGAGTGCATTAAAAAGAGCTTGGCCAGCAGATCAAGGGAGGTGATCCTCTCCCTCTGCCCTGGTGAGGTTACATGTAGACTACTGTGTACAGTTCTGGGCTCCCCAGTTCAAAAAAGACAGAAATCACCTAGAAGGAGTTCAGTGGAGGACCACAAAAATGATAAAGGGTCTGGAGCATCTCCTGTATGAGTAACCTGGGTCTGTTTAGCCTTGAGAAAAAAAGACTTGAGAGGGGAGGTGGGAGGCAAATGGATGAGATCAGGCTCTTCTCAGTGGTGTGTAGCAATAGGACAAGGAGTAATTGCCTAAAACTTGAACATAAGAAGCTCCGTACTAACGTGCAGAAGAACTTCTTTATAAAGGTTACAGAGCACTGGAGCAGGTTGCCCAGAGAGGTTGTGGAATCTCCTTCTATGGAGATATTCAATACCTGTCTGGATGCCTACATGTGTGATCTATTGTAGGGAACCTGCTTTAGCAGGGGGTTGGACTTGGTGATCTCTTGAGGTCCCTTCCAACCCCTACAATTCTGTGATTCTGTGAAATATTCAAGCTTCAGGCTAAAAATGAGACACATACAAACCATTTTCGATTTTTTTGATTGTAGGATAGCAAACCTTTAAATAAGTAATAATGAAAGCCACCAGCATGTCACATTTATTCACTATCTGATTCTGCTCCTGTGTTTCATGCAGAGCTGTTAAAGACTTTGCCACCCTCTTTGTGAATGTCAACGTCACATCTGAGCCTCATGAAGTCTCTGCTCTCTGGTTCCTGTGGTATGTGAGGCAGTGTGGTGGCACAGCCAGGATCTTCTCTGTCACCAATGGGGGCCAGGTACAAAATGTCTCATGTTCTTTCCCCCTTGAAACCATAAAGAACAAGTGGAGTGTTGTACCTGTCCAACTGTGTAGTTAATGGAAGGAGGACAAAACATCAAGTTTATGTGGCAGTTATGTTCTCATAGGGCTGAGCAGCCCTCTCAGCTCTGTGCAATGAGGATTTTTGTTAGCAAGGCTTTGGGATAAATTGGCACAATTTAATTAATTCTTCCTTCTTGCTTTCAGTTCATCACAGTCCTTTAGTTACAGTTTTGTTGCTTTTCTTTATCTGCCAATTTGTTTTCCATGAGATACTAATCACATTTGAATGTTTGTCAAGAGTTCAAAGCAACTGCTTCAGTCTGAAATACCAATTTATTTGTTCTTTGTGAAAGTCTTTAATGACAAGAATTGGAAACAGCTTGTAAAAGGACCCTCCATCTCGAGACAGTTTACATGGCAGCATGTTTTTTGAGTCTTTGAGACTTTTTCACCTTGGTACTATCAGGATGCAGAACCTCATGTTTTTTATGTGATTGTTCTTGATGAAGTTTCAGAAAAGGGAAGAGGGAATCTGTCAAAATAATTGGGATATGGTACGTTAACACTCTTCATTAGCCTACTTCAGTTAACACTACCTCAGAAGATATGTGCAGTATTTCGGACTTAAACTATGAACTGCAAAAGCAGAAAGAGATCCATGTTTCCAAGTACTAAAGGTAGGGAAACATACAAAGAAGTTGCCTGGAGAGATGTGAAGTCCCCATCAACATCTGTCCATTGTGGTGAGAATAGACAACTATGTGTTGGGAAGGAAATAAGCAAAACTAATGCTGGCCTCAAATAGGAGCAGGAGTCTTCCTGCCCAGTGGCCTCTCAGCTACAGTTGCTGTTCCATGTCAGCAAGTGCTAGATGTGGTAAGAATTAAAAACAAGATGAATTCCAGGACACTCCTACCGAGACAAGGCATGAAGAGAGGAAAACAAGACTGAAAATAGTGCTTCATGTTCCTTGTGCCTGGATCTATCAAGCTGTCTTGGTTACTACCTGTCTTCCCTCATCCTGATCAAAAACAGCAGTGAGTGTTTCTGACTCAACAGCCAAGATGAGTCTTATAAAAATAACCTCCCTGCCAGTACCTGTATCCAATATTCAAAAGTGAGCTGCTTGATACAAGTATGGTGACTGGAAGATAAAAGAGGGTCAGTGATTCCACTGACACTCTACACGGACATCACAAAAAAAAAGTGTTGCAAATTGTGCTGTGTCTTCCCAGGGATGAATAAAACTCATTACATTCCACACTCATGGCCTAAATCGGATCAGGATCTGTCTTGCTCCTGCATTTGTAAATAAATACTTCAGCTGTACGGATGCGAGCTGGTAGTTCTGTCACACTTAAGGGTTATGATAGCACAGTGACAGGCAAAATACTATAAGCCTCTTTAAAATTAAGTGATTTGTTTAAAGTAGGTAAATTACCTGTTTCATGTTTCTTTGTTCTGTTGGCTTCATGAGCCTCCAAACTGGCTAGCTGGGAAAGCCATTGCAAAAATGCTTTTGGTATCATTCTCCATTGAGTTTGAGGCTTTGGAATTAGCTCTTCTAAAAGTCTGCTGATTTGATATGCAGTTTCTTCATTATGAACAGAAGTCTTTTTCAATGTCATTGTGACTAATGATGGTGAATTTTTGTTTTGTTGTGTTTTTCCTCTTTTTTTTTAGGAGAGGAAGTTTGTTGGGGGTTCTGGTCAGATATCGGAGAAAATAATGGAGCGCCTCAAAGGCAGAGTTAAACTGGAGAGACCTGTGGTCTGTATTGATCAGACAGGTGATAATGTCATTGTGGAGACTCTAAACCATGAGACATACAAGGTAATTTGATCAGAATAAAAGAAGAATATGCATTTAGTAGGGAATACATCTGCTGTAGCTCTTAGCCAGATGTAATCAGGAAGTACTCATTTGTGAGTGTCTGTTCCTCAGACTGTCCTGACAGACAATCTGTGAAACCTGCTTTATAGATTTATTTATGGCTCAGACACTCTTGTTGTTTTGCAAATTGCTCATTAGTCTGCCTTGTCCGTCTTAACATTTTCTAGATTATATGATTTTACATTTTAAATATTGAGACTATTTCCAATGAAGAAAAATAAGGTTCCTGTTTGTATCTAAGCTTGGTTTGCAGGGGAGGGGGGGGGGGAGGAGGAAAGGGAAGGGAAGGAAGAGACATTTCTTACTCATTTAGTAAGATTTGAAAGATCAGCTGGTCACAAACTAAGAAAGACCAGAGCTCAGCCTCCTCACGCAGGGAGGTGCTGTCAGTGCAGTGATGACATGCAGTGCTACATACAGAGCCAAGACTGTGTATAATGATTCAGTGTCATCCTTAGCCCAGATGCAGAGCATCCTTCATCACTCTGGTCAAAGACAGAACTGTGGGAAGGATGGAGCACGTTCAGGAAAGCTGAAATCACTATTGCTATTGCTTATCCTGAAGTAGTATCCTGTGAATATGCACAGAAATTATGATGATTATTTTTTTAACAGCTTGTAGTTTGGGTAAATGTGGATCATATTTCCTTTGGAGGGGTAAAAGGCACTTTTAACTATGCTTGTCCCATTCCCCAACTTATATTCTGCCAGATTTCATCTCTGGTCCTGTAATGTTCAGAAAGCTGTCAAGAATCACCTAATCACAAAACAATGTATTTTTCCCTACATTCTTTTTCCCAAATGGCAGAATTCTTCTGGTCACCTGGAAATACCTGTGTGGGAAAGCCAACTACTAATGTCAAGCGTGGGAAAGGTGTTAAAAATGAATGAGAGCATCTTTCAACTCATAGAATAGAATCACAGAATGGTTTGGGTTGGAAGGGACCTCAAAGCCCATACCACCCCAACCCCTGATGTAGGCAGGGCTGCCCCCCACCAGCTCAGACTGCCCAGGGCCCCTCCAATCTGGCCTTGAGTGCCTCCAGGGATGGGGCACCATAGCTTCTCTGGGCAGCCTATCCCAAAGCATGTGTCCTGCAGGATAACCTCAATAAGAGGCAGTGCCTTGTTTCTATTGACTGTGTTTTACCTTTCAGGGCAAGTATGTAATCTCTGCTATCCCTCCTATCCTGACGACAAAGATTCACTTCAAACCAGAACTGCCACCAAAGAGAAACCAGTTAATTCAGCGTTTGCCTATGGGATCTGTCATAAAATGCATGATGTACTACAAGGAAGCCTTCTGGCAGAGGAAGGGTATGTGAGGAAGGTGAAGGACTTGGGAGCCCAGTGCCCTGCTAATTTTAATGCTCTGCTGTCTGTCAGGGAATAAATCCAAGGAGGGATTAAATGTGCAAAACCCCCAAATTAAACACACGGAAAACCAAAAAGTAAAGCTCTTTGGGAAGGAGAGTTATTTTTCTAAGCTTAAGTATACATCTCATCTCAAAGCAGACTTCAGACCCAAGCAGGGTCCCAAAGCTCGGAGCTGCTGGCTGATGACTGATAGAAGCCAGATTTCACAGTGAACTAAAGCTGGCTAAAGCCAGGCCACCTGAAGCACACAGAAACAGAGGCCTGCAGTAGGAAGTCCTTGCTGGGACAGTTAGGACAGCCAGAGAAAATTTACAGTAAATCACAGTGAGAGCTTTAGGTGTGAGCAAGGCCCTTTCTTAGTTATATGCCTGTTCTATCAACTTGATATCTCAGAGGAATGGAAAAAGTAGGTTACCTTTTTGTTCAACTCGGGACATATTTTTCCCAGTATTGCAACATCACACATTTCTCAGCTTTCACTGTTAATAAATGATCAAAAAATCAGTTACCATTTCCAGAAACATTTATATGGACAGATTAGTTTCATAGAATCATAGATTGGCTTCTGTTGGAAGAGACCTTAAAGATCATCTAATGCCAACCCCTCAGTTTCCACTACCTGTATAATGATAGCGAGAGTTGCACTGGTCAAGAATGTTTCTCAATTGAAAGAATATAATTTTGCATGTTTCAAGACATAAACCAGTAATTGAATGGGAATAAAAAGAAATGTAAGCAGGTTTATATATTGCCATCTATACAGGATTTTTGACATGGTCATCTGAAACATGTTGGTCGGAATGGGGATGTGATACTTGATTAGATTGTCCATTACTGTTACTGGACTCCATTCCCAACAGTCTTATCAGCAAAATCAATACAGAGTGCACATTTGTGCCTATGGTGACCAGACATAATTACAGTGGGATTTCTGCTACTCGTGTTTTAACTGAAGATGCTTATGGAATGAACCATCGTAGTTCTTGCTAGACACATTTTTTTAATGCTTATTGTGCCTAATATAGAAAGCCAAAGGGACCTACAGCAAGCCACAAAAATTCCTGCTAAGTAGTAACAGAAATTAAATATGACTTTATAAGTCTGTGTACAAAATTTCCCAGAGTCAGGTGGAAAAGAGAAGGAGAAACTGTTGTAAGAATGCTTCAGACTTGTAGATCTTATTGGTAACAGAGGAACAACTGTACAATTCTTTTACTAATAGTTTCCCCTGTTCACTGCTGTCAGTAGTGGTGATCATTACTGAGGAGTCTCTCTGACAATCATTTTGCTTTCCTTTCTCCCCTTAGGTTGCTGTGCTTCTCTCTTCATTGATGATGAAGAAAGTCCAATTGGAATTACCCTGGATGACACAAAACCTGATGGATCTTTTCCTGCCATTATGGGGTTAGGAGCTTCTAACACGTGTATTTCTTTTGTATAAGGAAGCCAGAGAAAGAGGAAGAGATGGGAATGAGATTCATATCAGTGGTGTCCACTCCCACATCATTCATAGATAGAGGAGAGTACTTCCTACATCTCCCTTCTGCCCCTCTTGCCTATGTAAGCTTTTATGTGAGGGGAAAAAAACCCAACAAACTGCTACAACTATCCCCATACAGAGACAGTTGTGGGGAAAGGGATGTTGAATTAATCTTTGCTCATTTTAAGCAATCAGCGTTTTGCTGCTGAGTAGATTTAGAAATAAATCTTTTACTTACCTAGTTTTGTGAGCTTGTATTCTGCTCACGTTGGACCTTGTATTTAGCACCTGAGCCAAAATGAAAATGCAGTTGTTCAAGACATCATCGTTTGCCTTCTTTCCCTATCAGACTGAGGAGGGATGAAGGGCATTGGCTTGTGGTTAAGTTAGGCAGCAGCTTTCAGTGAGGAAATCAGCATTCTGAAGAAACTGCCAAGTGGAGGAGCTGTAGTTTGGACAAACAGATGAGAAAATATGTAGCAGCATTTATTGGCTTTTAAAATAAGGTTAAGCTAATATGAACAAACAATTTTTACAAATGTTTCTACTGTAACCTGAGAAGAAACTTCCCCCCCTACCCCCATCCAAAAAGCCAATATAAATGTCAGGCAACTAAATGTGAAGTATTTGGCAAGACAGCTTGCCAGTTCTACAGAACTGCACGTGCTTATGGGCATATTCAAAGCTTAACAATTTGTGCCCTGAGAGCAGTAAACCTCCTCCAGACCTCAAAAGGCAAATGATTTCATTCTTTCCTCTTGTGGACTTCTCTGAGCAACTTTGGTGTGGAAACCTACTTCATCTCCTGCATATCTCCACTGAAGTCAGAGAAACTAATCACCAAATCTGTTTCCTTCAAGCTGAGAGAATAGCAGGCCCAGTTCTTACAAAATTGGCCGTGGTCCTGTCAGAGCAGCAGGCACTTAGCAATGCCTGTCAGCAGGGGCAGTGGTGTGGCAAACTGCCTGTAAGGTATCAAAATCATGAGAAAACTCAGTCTGAGACCTTTTGGATGAGAACTAGGTGTTAGAAGAGAGCTGGTGCAAGCTGGCTTATTAACTTCTGTCATTTCTCTCTGCTCAGTTTGCGGATAACTTTGCTCTCCTGAATCAGTGGGATGAAGAGCTCATTCCAGATGAGGAGAATGAGGCCAGTGCTGGCAGCTTTGCAAACATGCCTACAATCTGCAGCTTTCTCAGCTGGTAGCTGCCAGGCCATCCTTTCTGCATGCCCTCTGGGAACACTTGCCCTCTGTTCAATTAACTCCGCAGGGTATCCCACATAGGCCTTTCACCCCTGTGGCCTGTAATTACTAAGTGATGTCATACAGTGAAAAGCTCTCAAGCCCATTACATACCATAAGAATGCTCGACCCATCTTTTTTTAGAGTCATTTCAAGCAAAAGCTTACAAATCAGCTGGAGTGCTGACACTGTGATATTTATATGCCATATTTTTCTTTTTCAGTTTCATCCTTACCAGAAAGGCTGTTAAACTGGCCAGCCTCAGTAAGGAGGAGAGGTAAGAGTTCAGAAGCAGTAAATACTTCATATATGGGATACTTCTTGGAGAGACTTCATTGCTACCTTCCAGTACTTTCAGAGCTCACAAACAGGAGGGGGGACAACTTTTTACACCATCTGGTAGTGATAGGATGAGGGGTAATGGCTTTAAACAAAGAGAGGGGAGATTTGGGCTGGATGTTGGGGAAATTCTTTCCCTAGGGGGCACAGCTGCCCAGAGAAGCTGTGGTGCCCCATCCCTGGAGGCACTCAATGCCAGGTTGGATGGGGCCCTGGGCAGCCTGAGCTGGTGGGGGCAGCCCTGCCCATGGCAGGGGTTGGGGTCAGTGGGCTTTGAGGTACCCTGTAGCTCAAACCATTCTGTGATTCTATAATATGATTCTATGATGCTTCTCCACGGAAGTGTATGTGGTTTTTGTGTGCATATGAATATACGCACATGATCAGTGCAACTGCCAGTGCTGGAAACTGGGGTGAAGGTTTAGCTTTTAGGTCTAGACAGGAACGCTGATATCATCCAATTGTGGATATTTCTGAGTTTCCACATCCTGCTCCTCCATGTTTCTCAGACTGCATCCCCACTGAGTAATGTTTCACCCCAGAGATAAATGGAGCTCTGATGTACAAAGTTTTGCTTATTCTTCGCATTTAGATTGTGCACCAGAAATTTTAAACTCCATGTTTACGACACTATGATTTCATCATTAGTCTCTGAAGTGAACACAGTATGTTCTAAATGCTATTTTAGTATAAATGCAAAAACAGAGGAATTCTGCTTAGGAACGTGAGTAGTACTCTCCAGGTCATATTTTGTTCTCAGCTATAGTAAATCTGTAAAGATTTCATTGATTTATTTTACATCTCTTCTGGTCTTACAACAGTGAACATGAGAACAAATTGTCTCTGCATCCTAGAATAACTGTACCAAGATTTATTTTTTAGAGCTCTTTGCCAAAATTGGCCTTCATTTTCCATTCCGGGGTCCACTTTGGATGTCACACTTATGCATCAGCACTTGAATATGCACACTAAGAACTGGAAATCAAACTTGAAAGCAAAGCAAAACCCAGCTTTCTTTCCACTGTATTGCAGTATGTACAATTTTTTTTTATAACAAGAGCAATAGCTGAGAGGTTTTTATCTCCCCCTTTTCCCAAATGCTTTTATTTTCATATAGGAGGAAGAAAATCTGTGAGTCATATGCCAAGGCAATGCAGATGGAAGAGGCTTTACATGTAAGAAATTAGTACCCATTTTCACCTCTGTTGTAGAGTAATGTTGCTATTTTGTTCTGGAGGATGAAGTCATAATTCCTGGTACCCAAAATTCTGTGTTGTGCCATAGAATCCACAATGCCAAGGGGAGGGCAGCAGCATCTACTGCAGGAAAAAAAGACCTGGCAATCTCATTATTTGCAAGAATGAAGAAGAGTGTGGTTTAATTTGCGCTATCATTTCCACACGGGAAGCTACTGCTTCTCTAAAGATGCAAATGTTTGTTGTGTGTACGTGGATAGCATTAATCAGATGACATGATATGGCATCCTTAACCTGTTCTTTTCCCTTCCTCAAAGGAAACTTGTTTTTTATTTTTATTTCCAGTTTCTTTGCCACTGTTTCATTGTCTAATGTTTGGTAATACTTACAGCCAGTGCATTATGAAGAGAAGAATTGGACTATGGAGCAGTATTCAGGGGGCTGTTACACAGCCTACTTCCCACCTGGCATAATGTATTCATATGGAAGGTAAAACAGAATACTTTTGTAGCTCATGTACAATGATCTATTTTATGCAAAAAACTTAGGGCATATTTAGCACAGTGGGAGACTTCCAACACTCTTTGCACTCCCTTACATGCCAGCTAATGAGTCTTGCTTTTGACTTTTAATAAGAGCCAAGTTTCTCTTGTGATTTTCAAGGCAACAAAACACAGTCACGAAAAGACCTGCTGGAGCTATAAAACCTTTCCACAGTAGTCTAGTTACAGTATCGACCCCTGTGCACTATTTGCCTATTTGCATTATGATTTGTAATGCTTCCTAAGGCCTCGAGAGCACGAGGCCTCCTCCTTAGACAGAGGAGGAGTCTCCGCTGACTGCGCAGGTGGAGCATTGAGTTCTTGCAGAGCCTATTGAGTTGCATCACCTGGGAAAGACACAAAACCCTTACAGAAAAACTCATTCTCTCTTCCCATTCAGCAAAGTCTTCAATACTCTCCCCACACAGAACTGCTGTATTCATAAAGGGTCATAGTAGATAAGAGTGATTAACATTTGGTGTATCACTGAAAAGCCTATGGAAAGCACAATTCAGTACCTATTAGAAACAACCAGGCAAATTGCATATCCATTCCCAAGCACCAAACAGTGTGGGCTCTTGCACGTTTTCCTCAAACTAACTGTCCATTGTGGAGCTACACCTGACTTCTGTCCAAGATGTGAGTGGGAAGGAGTCATCCCATGTACAGACTCTTCTGTAGCAATTTATCTGAACACTTTGTGTTCAGATGTAGCAGTGGCTGAGGTCTCTTATCCACAGCTGGATGGGAAAGGGAGTTCATTCCCTTTATCTGGGTTGAGCAAGATGCTTGTGCAGCTTTGCGTGGCTGATAAGCTGGCTTATGGCTCTGTTCAATGTCAGATGCAACTCACTGAATGCAGATGCCTTCAGCAGCCAGCCTCTTTTGGCAAGCAACCAGGCAAGTTCAGCCCCCAAAGAGTAGCTGATATTGGTGACCCACCACAGCAAAAACATAATTCACACCCCATTGTAATAGCAGGATAACAGCAAAGTTGTCATGCACCTGTCAGCTGCACTACATTTTGGGAGGCCATTAGGATTATTTCTTCTCCTAGCACTAAAATAAGGCTGGTATTATTTTGCACAGAAGCTGGGCATACTGATTTATGCATTGGTTTTTCTCTCTCAGCTCTTGAGCATTGTTTACAGAAACAAGTTGGTGGTCCTGCAGAAACAGCTTATGGCAACATGCCTCCCAGCCCTGCTCTGCAGGAATGATGGAGAAACAAAGTCGAATGCTTCATCAAAGCCAACAAATTGCTTTTAGAAGGATCATCGCCTTCTTATGACTTGTCATCTGACATTCTCCATTTGTTTTGAAGGATCATTCGTCAGCCTGTTGACAGAATCTACTTTGCTGGCACAGAGACGGCTACCCAATGGAGCGGGTACATGGAGGGGGCTGTACAGGCAGGAGAGAGAGCAGCCAGAGAGGTACAGACACTGGTTTGCTTTGGTCATCTCTTTTAAAGGCTAAAAAGGATCAAGTACAGCTTGGAGAGGTCTGATTTGGTGCCTCACACACTGTGATTGTGCTGAAGTTGGTGGGAAAGAATCAGATAATCCTAGAAAAGAAAGTGAAACAAAGGCTTTAAAAATGATTAAAAAAAAAAAAAAAAAAAGCCGAAACAACACTTTTTGAACTTAATTATTGAATAAAGTGCAACAATCTGAACATTACATAACATGTTGCCACACCTGATTTAAACTGAAATTCATGCTGCATACCCCATCCCTACAGAAACAAACTCTCCAACCTGTGATGGCCCTTAGATATACCATCATGTTTTCTATCTATTTAATCGTGGCATGTTTTGCAATCAGTTTCAGTCATCAGAAATGCTTGCAGTTATTGCCTTTGAAACAATCTGGAAATCTGAGCATTTTTCTAATTTTTGATTCATCCCTTCTTCTTCTCCTTTCACCAGAGAGAACAGTGAGCTTGGCTTTATGAATCCATAATGGGTGCCTCTGATAATGTTTAAATCTCAGAATGACACACATTGGGCTGGGTTCCCAGTCTGTAAAATCTCTACAACTGTCTGGAAAGAGGGAAAAAACGCACATTAAAGGACATGTATTACACTTACAGTTGCTATATGATAGAGCCACAGTTCTGTTAAATAATAGAAAATCAACCCCTTGCTTCCCTTTGACAGTGTCATATTCACCTTATAATCTTCATTCTGTGCTTGAGTCTCCTCATTTCTCATTTCTCTTCTCCATGCCTGAGTAGCTGTTATAACAACAGTTAGCTCTCTCTTCTGGAGACATTCACTCGCCCCCAAGAACCTCCATGATTGTTAAAATCAATTTGTTGTAAAAAAAAAAAGATCCGTGATGAACTTCGTACTACCTGAGTGTAGCCAAGAGGTAACTTCATAATGGCGCACTTTGAAAGCCCCAGACTTGAATCTCTCATATTCCTCATTTGTGATTCAAGAAGCATCATTCCCAGCAGCCTTTCTGTTCCGAGTTTGTGGCACTATGCTATTTCTCAAGCTGCCGTGTGAGAAAGCACTTGTAGTCAGAAAAAGAAAAACAAAGCCAAAACACAACATCTGGGAAAACTATAGGTCTTTTGGATTGGTCTACTTCTTGCAGATGGTACAAAAGACTCTGTGGAACTTTCCTTTTATCCTTAAAACATTGGTAGGCACATAACCATTTGATGACTATCTATCCTGCTTTTACATAGACTATCAAAACTGCCTCTTTCTCTCATTACTGATACAAACAGAGAAATCACTATTCAGTTTTCTGGTCACAGTTTTGCTTTTTATCAGTGTCATCTTGCTCTGACTTGCTATATTTTCCTGAAACAGATGTGCTTTCTTCATTTTTCTCATGTGATACCAATGTTTATCTTTTCTAGATATTATATCATATGGGGAAGATCCCCAAGAATGAAATTTGGATGCCAGAGCCAGAGTCACAGGTAAGCCTGACTTTCTTTTTGTCACCAGAGGATTCAGCCCCTTGATTGATCTGCAGGCTCTCTGTTGGTGGCTCCTCTGCTAGGTTTCACAGAATCACAGAATGGCCAGTTTGGGCCTATGGTCATACAAATTTCTCTCTCCTCCAGGATGTCCCATCCCGACCATTCATCACCTCCTTCTGGGAGAGGAACCTGCCATCTGCGCCAGGACTGCTCTGTCTACTTGGGTCTACTGTGTTCTTCACCTCTGTGGCTGCTGCAGTGCTGTTTGCCTCTAAAAAGGGACTGTTAATTCGAAACTAGTGCAAATTAAATGTCCAGCCAAATGTGCATTCTTGCTCTTCTTCCCTTTTATCAGATGAGGGTTATTTTTGGAGAGAAGTGACATGGACAACTGGAAAGGGCAAGAGGTGTTCTCCTTGTGATTTTCCTTTTAGAACTGTAATTAATGCATTAAATCTACTGCAGTGGTTACCAGCAAAACAAAACTAAATCAACTGTGGGGGTATGTTTGAAAATTGCCTCTGCCTTGTCCATTTGTTTTGATTGGACATCTTTATATCAATGTTGCATTCCTAATACAGGGAAGGCAAAGGAAAATCTTTCCCAAAAAGTGAAGAGCTCTTGGAATATGCATTCATTTCCACTTGCTGCTTTATTTTTTGTCACATGAGTTAGTAAGTAGCCTTACGTATTCACCTCAGTGGTTCAGAATATATTGGAGGTTTCTTCTGTAGCATCCCTGCTGCGCAGTAGAGATTAGCATGCCAATCAGGCACAGAATTGTTAAATTAATTTCCAAAGGCATTTGATTAATTATTAATCATCACAATGTGAAACTTTACTATCAGCAGTATGAAAGAAGATAATTAGCATGAAGTGGATCGTTAAAGAGCGAGAGTGGTAGCACACGTGGACTTCGTTCTGCCCACAGCTGAGCAAGTAGCAACACTGTGTGGCTACAAAAGCCATGTAGGGCAGTGAGCCTCACGCTTTGCAACTCTTCCATGGAGCAGCTCTCTGCTGCTTCCTGACCCAAGTGCAATTGATCCGTCTTGGCCACTGGCTATTAATGTGGAGTGAATTAGCAAAGCTGAAGCCCCTCTGACTTGCAGCACATGCTCGCAGTTATGTTCAGAACGTCAGCAGTTTCCTGGCTCCCTGTCAATCTGCTCTCCCACATATTGCTCATAATCTGCACTGCCTTCCTACAATAAGGAGAAATATATTTGGGGCTTGAATTACTGCCTTGTAAATTACAGTAATTGGATGCATCTGCCTGTTCCGCTCTTATTGTGTACAAGACACACTTAAAATAATCACTTTAGTGTTAACTGAAGTCTGGAATATAGGTTTCACAACGTACCATCATTACGCGATCTTTTTGCTGTGAAATGTGAGCATTGTATGTGTCCATGAACTCCATTGTCATTCAACATCAGTGAAACGTGCCTTTCAATAATCCTGAAACCTTGATAAGAGGATCTCTTCTATAAAATTTTCTTCATATTCTTTTTCTCGTGTCATTTTTTGTGAGTTCATGGAAGGTGGTGTTTCTCTGTGTCTTTATTAAATCACAGGGCATATCATGTGCAGTAGCCACGCACGGAAACACCTACCAAGCAAGGTGACTTCACTCTTCACTGCCTTGTCCATCGTATTCAAATGGGATATGAGTTGGGGCAAAAGCTTTGCAGACCCCATAATTTATGTGAACCAATCTCAGCCCAGGTGCTGGTGGGCTCAGCAGAAGCTCTTCTCAGAGGGAAGGGGTTGCTTTGGTGGCCCCTTGTCATCATGGCCCTTTCCGATTGGAGCAGATGTTCTTGGTGACAGTGTTGAGCACAACACCCATTCCGAAATACTCACCCACATTTGTACTTATGGTAGTTAGAGCCAGTCGCTTTGTTGCTGATTCAAAACTTCAGAATTTTGCAGCCATAAGCAGCCTCTTTGCACATGTACAAAGGAGACCCAGAGTAATCTGCTGTATAGCTGTGAGCCAGCACTGTTCAACTTCACTTTTCACCTCACTCATGCACGTTTCAATTGCAATTTGCTTGTCTTTTGAAGAGCAAGGGCAAACCACCTGAACTAGCGGAAGACCATGTTGCTCACTGCTTGGGGAAGGGGCACATCTCCTGCAAGTGGGAGCAAAAATCAGCAAACAAAGGAGGGTGATTAAAAGCGGCATTTCTGAAACTTGTGCGGCTCCCAGGCACTGTGCTTCTACAGGAGAGGGCAGTGTTTGTGGCTGTCGGAAATCACCAACCAGTTTCCATTCTGCTTCTGTGCCTCTTTTGACTATCAGAAAAATTGCCCTGTTCAAACAGTAAATGTCTGGCTTAAATATTAAGCATCCAGGTATCTTTCTTAAATCAATTTTGAAAGAGTGTGGAACAGACTTTATTACCACTGACAGCTCTCAAAGAAACAAGCCACTGCAATCATGAAAAAGGCTGTAACAGTGGGAACACCTCTTTCCACTAGAAACAGAGCACAGTCCTCACCAGGCCACAGGGTGGAAAAGCCTTTGTTTTGCTCCATCGGAAGTTAGGGTCCAGCTTCATGGACCATAGTCGGACAGCCCTGCGTCCCCTGGCAGAAGTAGGGGATGCTCTGTTTTCTCAAAGTGAGGGGTGAAGTGGGAGAGCTGGGCACCAATGAGGTAGCTAAGGCCCACACTAAGTCCATCAGCATCTCGATGGGAACTGAACAGCACAAATTTCTAAGAGCAGGTGTAGGCAGCATCCTTCTATCTGTGCTCCCTGTACTGGACAAGGAGTAGGTCTCACCATGTTCCAGGGTGCTAATGGCAGAACATCCAGTCTTAGAGACCACGCTGAGCAAACGAATGGTTGCAGCCTTCAGCCTGGTCCCGTTAATGATCATTCATCAGCAATACTTTCCAGTCCATGTTTGATCCAACCTCCAGTTTCATGTTGTTTTATCTCCTGTTTTCCAGAACCAAGCATACCTCCAACCATAGGCACAAATTAGCATTGCATACTTAAACAATGCCGCACAGAGGGATGTACTAGTTAACCTGTCACAGTGTGTAGGTTTCTCCCCTGTTGGTGCCCACATGCTATTGAGCAGTATGCTGCCTAACAGCATGTGCTTTTCTCTGGCAAGAAATCATGCCATGGGCAAGCTGGATCCTGGTTTTATGTTCTTTATACAGAGTACAGCTCCCATTTCTTAACAGCAGCACCAACAAATAGAAAAATGGACAAATCTCTATTGAAAAAAAAAAAAAATTGTTGTTGGTTATCCTCTTTCACTTCTTTCCGCAGAGATGTTTAAAACAACCAATTTTGCTTTGTAAATGTTCCCTGCTTAGTTCCTTCCTACAAGCACACAGAAAGCAAATTTCATCTTGGTGAAAACCCAGAAAGGGAAATTAAATTTGTGCATTGACAGTGAACTGCAACTTTTTCTTTGCCTACCGTGCTCCCACACTTGGCAATCAACGTTTCATTTCCAGTTTCATTTGCTGTTCTGCTCTTTATTTGTAGCGCTTGGCTTCTGAGTTTCTGTTCTCTGTCTGTGTGTCTCTCTTTAAATTTTCTTTTTTTTTTGGCCCTATCTTATGTAGCAGAGAGAGAATAACCTGGGATACATAGGAGTAGCAGGGAATCATAGAATTATAGAATAGCTTAACTGGCAAGGGAACTTAAACCCCATCCAATTCCAACCCCTTAAGCCATAAGCTTCTCTGGGTGGCCTACGCCAGGGCCCCACTGTCCTTTGGGTAAAGAGTTTCCTCCTAACACCTGACCTAAATATCCCTTTTTTAGTTGAAAGCCATTCTCTCGTCCTATTACTATTAGACCATGTAAAAAATCAGCCCCCTCCTGGTTATTTTCTTTGGAAAAAAAAGTTTCCCAAGAATGAGCACATTTCTTGTTAAAGGAAAAAGCTCCATTGCTACTCACAGTGAAAAAAGACAGCTACTTCTCCATCTGGGACTGAAAATGAAGGAAAGGATGTAATTATTACTTCTGCTAGGATTTTAACTTCTATGGCCACACCAGTCACTTGAAAACTCAGTTATAGCCTGAGCAGCATCATTTTCATTTAAATATGAGCTAAATCCAGTCTGACTGAGGTTAGAATATGTGGGAAACAACTCCTCATATACAGCATCTTCTGAGAGCGGTGCCCAAGCCTATGGATGCCGTCTGTACAACAGTACAGCATGATGGGGATTAGCACTGAAGTAAAGGCTGCCATCTTCTGGCTGCATGATTTTATCATCTTAGACAAAAGCTGAACACTTGGACTTTGCACAAAGGTCTCTGGGTTTTTTCTGTACCGGTTCTTAACAGTCCTGGTGGGTAACCAAAATATGTAATTCCAGAATCAAAACACTGAAACAAGTCCCCAGCTTCAGGACTTCTCCAAAAGGGACAGCTTAAGCCTTGGCTGATGCATGGCAGCATGACGAGCCTGGAATAAAAATGTGAGCATAAACCTAAATGTTCCTGAACACCTCCCTCCTCTGAAAAAGGATTTCTCTGAGGCATTTTGCTTTATCAAGATTAATAAATCTCTCTACAATGACCTGTATGGAGATTGTAGTGAAGTGGGAGCTAGCCTCTTCTCCCAAGTAACAGTGATAAGAAGAGAGGTAATGGTTTCAAATTGCACCAGGGAGAGTCCAGGAGGGATGTTAGGAAACATTTCTTCTCTGAAAGAGTGATGAGGCAGTGGCACAGGCTGCCCAGGGTGGTGGGGCAGTCACTGTCCCTGGAGGTGTCCAAGAACTGTGTGGATGTGGCACTGAGGGACGTGGGCAGGGGGCACGGTGTGATGGATTAGTGGTGGATCTTGGTGATCATAGAGGTCTTTTCCAACCTTAATGATTCTATTATTCTATAGAAGCATTTATTCAAATATACCATCTTCAAGAAAGCACTCTGGCCAAGCTCCAGCTCATAAAGAAACGATTGGAAAATAACAGACTTTTTAATTTAGTTTAATATTCTCATTCCATTTGGGGTCGAACATGCTGAAGTAACATCTCTCCTTAATTTTGATTAGGTACAAGCACACATTTCGATTGTTTCAGATAATGACTGCACAGCCCGATGGAACTCAGCTCTGGAATAGTAGTTTCCACATCTGAAATTATAATGTAATTTCTGTTAAATGCAACACTGCTGTGCAAAGTGTTTTCTTACAACCTGGAGCATATGCAAATTGTTAGTGAGCAGCCTGAGAGCTGACAAGGATGCCTCAGTGCATTACTAATGCCCTTTCCTCATTTCCTTCCCACCTAAGTATTAGAGCATATACAAATGCGGGGTTGAATGCCATGAGATGGTAGTGCAGGAGCAGACTGAGCTGTCTGACAAACCCAACGAGCCAAAGGTCAGTGATTCTACTGGATATTGCTTTGTAGAATCATGGAATCATTTGAGTTGGAAGGAACCTTTAAAAGCCATCTGGTCCAACTCCCCTAGAATGAACAAGGATACCTACAGCTACATCAGGTTGCTCAGTGCCTGGTTCAGTCTGACTTTTAATGTCTCCAGGGATGGGGCAATCATCACCTCCTTGAGCAACCTGTGCCTGTGCTTCACCACCCTCACTGTAAAAAACTTCTTCCTTTTATCCAGTCTAGATCTCCCCTGTTCTACTTTGAAACTATTTCCCCTTGCACTATCACAACAGAATCTGCTAGAGAGTCTGTCCCCTTCTTTCTTACAGCCCCCTTTAGATACTGAAAGGCTGCTCTCAGGTCTCCCTGAAGCCTTTTCTTCTTCAGGATGAACAGCCTCAGGTCTCTCAGAGGTGTTCCATCCCTTGGATCATTTTTATGGCTCTCTTCTGGATGCGCTCCAACAAGTTCATGTCTCTCCTGTACTGAGGACTCCCCATCTGGGTGCAGTACTCCAGGTGAGGTCTCACCAATGCAAGGCAGAGAGGCAGCATCACCTCCCTCACCCTGTTGGCTACACTTCTTTGGATGCAGCCCGGGATACGGTTGGCTTTCTGTACTGCAAGGGCACATTGCTGGCTTATGTTCCACCTGCCATGCACCAGTATTACTCCTCGAGTACTTTTTCTCAGGGTTGTGCTCCATCCTTACTTGAGCTTCCCCAGCTTGAGTGCTTCATCAGGTCTCTGCTGTTTTACAAAATGGCATCAATTAGACCCCGCAAAGATACAATTGGTTTTCAATGACATTGCATCCATATGCAGATGAGACTGGGCTGTATGACTGTCCCACTTTGCCATAGGTCAGGTAAACAGATCACTTGGAGATGGATGAGACTTTTTCTCCTGCCAAGCTGGGGTCTGGAGTCTACAGAACTTGCTGATGCCAGATGAAATGAAGGTGGATAGGTGGTAATTATTTCACTAGAGCCTTTCCACTACTGGGTGATTATAACAATTCCTAACAGAAAACTGTTGCTTACCAAAATCCAAATCTGAGTGAAAGTTAAATAGCCCATCACTTCTAAAGCAGAAGAGGTCTCTGTCACGTTCAGTGAAAGCACAGCAA